TTAAGATCTGCAAAGGTTCTAGCATTGTTCAGGGAGTAGGACACAATCAAGCAACCCCGAGAAGGCAAATCCGAAATGGCTTAAGCACATCAAATTTTAGTGACTTGTGCAAGGTGAAATTTATACTATATAATGTTCCTAATTTAAAGGCTTTGAGAGGAATTACTTTACCCCAATCTTAATGTGAAAAATAAACTAGTGGCTCAGGCTCGATTTGCTCACAGGCTGCAGGTTTAAAGTAGAGATGGTGGAGCTCCCCAAAATTCATTGTAACTTAGTTTTTTCGACAGGAAAAATAAAATCAATGTGCCCTAGTTGTATATAATAAATGCTACTGTGTTAGACCAATTCAAAGCTCAACTAAAAGGAAAATGTAGGGAGCCAAAGTAATTACAAGTAATTGCTTGCGTAGTCAGTCCATTTTCACAACTTAAAAAGAATAAAACTATTAGTTGTACAATGCAACAAATATACATAGATATTAACTGACAGGCATCAGAGGCATGCACTCTGCCCTGGAATGTATCTAACTTCCCAAAATCATGACCATATGTATCAAAGAAGTCATAGAGACCCATGCAGATCATTGAGACTTTTAGAGCACAAGTGGAATCAAACGCACAATATCTCACATCAACACACCAATTAAAATCCAAAGAAGCAAAATATCTCACATCAAGGCACCAATTAAAATCCAAAGAAGCACAACATCTGATTCTAATCAATCAAATATTAGCAAGAAGCTTGGAATCCATCAGTCATTTAATCAAATAGTGGAAATGTAACTGCCCAATCTAGAAAGTAATGATGCAAAGGTGAATAACAAAACAGTTAGAAGCCTGCAAAAGGGTTGCATTCCTTGCAATATTCATGGACATAGAAACAACTCACTTCAATCCACTTCCATATAAAACAACAAAGCGTCATTTAAACGTGAGATACCATTACGGCCCTACAAAAGCATGTCAAACATAACGTATAATGTACAACAAAATTTCAAGTTCTAAAACAGTAGAAGGACCTAGAGCCAGCTATTCACATCATTAAACACCATATAAACCGCAAGTGGCAGCATCAAGCACTGATCACTCTTGGCACAAATTATATCAAATCCGAATTGTTTTTCAGTAGCACCTTTCTCTTTTTTCATTGAAAACACATTCAAAAGACCCCATATCATAAAAAATGGCCCAAATCGAATCAAAACCACTCACCATCTGAGTGCCTGAACCCACATTTCTGCGGGGACCAATGCATAGTCTCGGCCTGAGACACCCACTTCGCCATTTTCACCACTGTGCACAGTATCCTCCTCCCGCTTGAGATTAAATACAAGATCTGAGTTGAAAATGTTGTTGATAATCTTCATAGGTCCAGCATACGAGGAAGCTTGCGAGGTCACATACAAAATTCCTCTCTTCCCATCCGAATCGCCCAAAACTGAGTCTTGTGCATCTCTCCACCAACTGAAAACACAATTTACATATGAATATGCGATACATGAATTCAATCAAAACCCTATGATTCAGACACTCCCAAATCTAATACTTTGAAAAATAACAATACAAGAAGAAAGACTAAGAACCTTATTTCTAATTATATAGTTAAGAAGCCCACGTGACACTTCTCTCTAATTTCCTTTGCTCATTTCTAATTCCGGAAAATTCACAGAAACCAAAATGCATAGAAAATTTGATGAAGAAACTTCATTGTGGATTGGTGAAAGTTGTGCAGCTGTGGAAACTGAGAAAAATGAACCAAATCGAGAAGTGAATGAGTTAGACCTGTAGGGAATGAAGTAAATTTGCTGGCCGCTGTCTGAGTCGGAACGCTGACTGGAATCGGACAGATCTTCAGAGAGAGCAACAGCCTCCATTCTCTTCTTCGATTGTGTGTATATTATATATAAAGAATGAGAGAAAGAGCGGGTGAAGAAAGAGTGAGAAAATGGGTTCGGAAAATGCAGATCATCAGAGAGAGATTGAGAGTGAGTGAGATGGAGATGGCGAATTTGCAGAGAAACAAATGGAGCTTTTTCTGTGAAGAGGATTCAATAAGGAGGGAAAATATATATATTAATACGAGTTTTTAATATTTATTGGTGTTCTTACGTGGAAAATGAATATTGGAGTTTGAGCAGCTAAGAAACATATGCGGAGAGCGAAGCTCATGTAAGAATTAGAAGATCACAAGAGGACTGAATCTCCAATCCGAATATCCGATTATCAAAACGGGTCGAATGACACGACTCATGTAAGTCGTCTATTAATCTGAGTGGATTGAATTTTACTTTAGCTTAATTTATTGGCTAAATTATTGAAATGTCCCCTGTAACTCAATTTCAATCTTAGTTTTCCCCCTGAAACTCTAAGTGTCTCACTTTCCCCCCTGAAACTCCATATATTGTCTCACTTTGCCTATATTCCATCCAACCCTAACAGAAGTCGTCAAATCTTACCCCCCAAAAACAACATTTCCTTACAAATTCAGATACTCTTTGAATCTGCAACTACACTCAGACTCATTTGCAAAACCAAACCCCTCTCCAAACTCCAAGAAACGAAGAACAACCTCTAACAATGGCGGCAACCCAACTCCTTCTCTCTCTCATCGTCCTCTCAATTCTCTCTCTCTCTCTCTCCTCCGCCCTCCCCACCCAAACCCTCGTCAACGCCGCCGAAATCCTCTCAAATTTCGGCTACACCTCCATGGCTCTGACCCTCGACCTCGCCTCTCAAACCCTCCTCCTCTCCCAGCCTCCTTCCCACCCAAACCCTCGTCAACGCCGCCGAAATCCTCTCAAATTTCGGCTACACCTCCATGGCTCTGACCCTCGACCTCGCCTCTCAAACCCTCCTCCTCTCCCAGTCTCCTTCTCTCACCATCTTCGCCCCCACCGACGCCGCCTTCTCTCACTCCGGTCAACCACCGCTGAACCCCCTACAGTTCCACATCATCCCCCTTTATTTCTCTCTCCGATCCCTCAAGTCCCTGCCTTTCAACGCTAAGATCACAACTTTACTCTCTGACCGCTCTCTCTCCGTCACCACTTTGGCCTATGACCCCAGAGTCTCACTCAACAACGTCCCCATCACTGTTTCCCCATCATTGTTTCCCCAATTTTTGACTTCTGCTAGGGCTGGATGGAATATAGGCAAAGTGAGACAATATATGGAGTTTCAGGGGGAAAAGTGAGACACTTAGAGTTTCAAGGGGGAAACTGAGATTGAAATTGAGAGTTTCAAGGGGGAAACTGAGATTGAAATTGAGTTACAGGGGGCATTTCAATAATTTAGCCTAATTTATTTAAAAATTATGTTCTACATTTCAAGGGTGTATTCAATTGAGATTTTAAAAGATTATTTTGGGATAAATAAGTTTTGTGGTATTCAATTATGACGTTTAAATAATCTAAACAAGTCTTGTGGTATTCCATTAAGACTATTAGAATTTTTTAAAGAGGGTGTCAAAATCTTGTGGTATTCAATCAAGACTTTAAACAAGTAATAAAAAGTCTTATGGTATTCAAAAACTTGCTAATTTCGAATGATTTTTTTAAATGCGAAATTGTGTGAGACCCTTTAGTGGGATGTATAAATACCAAACCCTATCTCACAAATCCCACCCCAGCCCATGAGACTTTTTTCACGTGAGATTCTTTTTTGTGCTCATCCACTTCGCCTTCTCTCAAGGCCAACTTCAACCCCCAAAGCTTCACCACCATAAGCCATCTTTGCAACTCTACCTGCAAACCCACTTCACCTTCTCTGCTATGCCTCGGTCAAATTTATGGTGACACCACGAGACCCAATAGGTCCAAAGTCCCAAACTCAAATGGGTTCTTCTCTGTTAAAGCTTACATGGATAATCCAAACTCCATCTCCAGCTTTGCTAGCAAGGTCATTGGCTCTATGTCCTCACTTGTAAGAAAATTCAAATGAAGGACCTCCAATTCCTTCAACAAAATAGAGAGGCTTGATAGTAGAAGTTCTTGCCCTCACTTGTAAGAAAATTCATGACTGAGAATTTCATAGGAGAACTGAACAAACCAGAAAACTGTACCAAGAACTTGTGCTGTACATGCATCTAGCAGGCTTGATTGGTACTTTGGTGGTAATAGATTATGCTATTGAGATAGAACAAAGAGTTCTCTTTTTTATCAATTCTCCCTTGCTCGAGGATTTACCGATTTTGTTCAAATTTTGAACCATAGTGTATGAATTTTGCCAATCAACTGAACTAGAGAACCTTCCTCTTAGGCCCTCTACTTTCCTTTGATTCCCAGCCGGGAAAAGAAATGGCATATAGCTTCCAACTTATTAATTGATGATTAACTCCAAACAATACCATACTTTGAAAAAGAATGTGGTAGGGGATAGAAGAGAAAATACTACCACAAAAAAAAACTAGGGCAGAAACTCCACTTGCATATAACAATATGATATCTCACAACAGTAACAGTTCATAGGGTAACACAAATTTTAAAAAACCAAGCAAGTTCCTTTTACACTATTTGACTGGAGTTACCAGCTGTGCAGCAGGCCAGCGTTAAGATGGTAAAACCAGCAGCCTCCCCTGTTAGGTTCACTATATCTGTCGGACTAGGTATTTAAAAAAGTTTCAAATTTTGGTCTGGCCTATGGACATATTTAGTCAGACCCAGATATAAATCCTATGATATAAATCCATGTGGTCCTTTCAAATCTTATAAAATCTTATGATATAATATTTAAAATCCAAAAGTTAAAAATCCTGATTATACAAATCCATCAAGAGAGTTACATAAAAGCACAATACAAAAGTCTTCATGTATCAGTATCAGTCAATCAGTTTTTGTTTTCTTCAAACAAATGAACATGTCACTACTCTAGAGAGTTACATAAAAGCACAATACAAAAGTCAGAAAATAAAAAAGCAACGGCAAAACCAAACAAAATAAATGCTCAATCCAAAATACAAATAATTCAGGCCCAAAACACAAAAACCCTAGAATTAAACCCTAGAAACAACAAGCAATCGCCGCCGCCTAATCTACAACCGCATACGTAGCCAGAAGAAGAAGAAGGTTCAGGAAAACCAACAAAGGGGATCTGTAGAGCGTGGGATTGGAGAAGCAAGCCACCAACATGCATCATGCTCAAGCAATCTAAGTATTGGTCAAAATTGACCATTAAACTACAAAGCCCACACCTCCATATCAAGATCTTAGTCAGAGGATGGGTTGTAAGGGAGAAAAATCAACAGCAAATGATCGTAGACAACCAAGAAAATTCTAGGGAAAGAGGAGGATTTTAGGGTTTTAGTTTTTGTGGGAGAAGGAGAGAAATGGACTGATAGGGGATGAGTGTATGAGAGGAAAAGAGGGTGATAGTGGTGTAATGGCTGAAGAGTAGTGGGGGAGGAGATGTGGAGGATATCTGGGCCAACATCTAGAAAATCAAGAGAGAAAGGCCAAACCAAAACAAACAGAAAAAGAGAGAAAGAAAGCCACACCAGAGGGTGGCAGAGAAGCTGTACCATAGGTGGTAGAGGTGCCGCCTAGAAGGGTGGCTGGACAACCACCAACTGCTCGGAAGAGGCCGATGGGGAAGGAGAGAAGTTCTAGAGTTAAGGGGGAGCCCCTCTCTCTAAAGCTCTCTAGGGTTGAACCTTTCAAATTTTACTTTGCAGTCAATCAATTTTTTGGATGTCTAGATTTGAGTTTTTAAATCAAATGGTTATGATTGAGAGATCTCAAAGCTTGTTTCCTTTTCTTTATGGGCATCACGTGAAACGCACGTGAGGAATAGAAAAATATTTTAAACAAAGGCAAGGCCTTCTCCTACGCGTGAACTGGACCACCTATTTTGCGTAAACCATGTCTAGCTCTAGACATTGTTGCCTCTATGTGTCTCATTCTCACTGGCGTGAGCATGACCTGGTTTGAGGAGGCATGGAGTAGCCTTCAACTATCTTCGCTCTTGTTCCTTAAGCATTTTCCCCAGCTATTTGAGACGGGAGTGAGTGTGTCCCATTTTGTCAGTGGGTGCTTATGTAATATATAATAGCAGTTTCTGTTGAAAATATGCCATAAATGCTAATCATATGATGTAATCTTCTATAGATATTCATATGTTAAACTTATATCACTACTACAAAATTGGGCAAAAACCATGATCCAAAGGCGACAAAAAAAATGGTCATGTCCTTTTGAATCACATTGGACACATATATGTAGTATTTGTGTCATATGCAAATAAGACAAAATAATTTTGTGTCCAACTTGAACAGAAGAAGGAAATAATTGTGCTTAAGTAATTTTGACACAACTTTCATGGCCTAAAGAGAGCACGAATAGACAGCTTTTGTGGTTATATACTATATGTGTGTGTGTGTGTGTGTGTGTGTGTGTGTGTGTGTGTATTTCTTCTCGTGACTTATATAAAGCATGGATACTAAAATTGTGTGCCTTTGTACTGCACACATTCCAAAGTATGGTGGCCTATAGAGCACGAATACTGCAATTGTGTCTCTTGAGGTTGCCTATAGAGCATGAATACGGAAAATTTTGTTTATTAATTATGCTTCACATATCATGTCCCATAAATAGAGAAGCTGAATATATAGGGCAAGTTTCTAAATATGCCAAATAACGTTTTTTTTTTAATCAATATGTGAAATTACTTTAGGACATTCTCATAACGATTTGTGCTCAAGATTATATTTAAAAATAATAATTATATAAAAAATTTAGATAATAAGGCATGAAAAACTTAAAACTGTGCCTAAAGCTCTCCCTGTTTCAATTTTATTTTCTTCTCTCTCTCTCTCTCTCTCTCTCTCTCTCTCTCAGATCCTCCACTCTCTCGGATCTCATTGCATCTGGGCCTTCATCAAAGGTATGAAAATCTCAACTTGGACTGTTAGGGTGTTTCTGAAGTTTAATGTTTTTTTAAAAAAACAATTTGTGGGTATTTGATATTTGCACTATTTTTTGACTTTCTGTT